GGTGTACCAGTCGCTAGGACTAATTGTTTCCATGAATTTTTGGTTTTCTTCATTCTTCTTTGCTCTGGATGAGGAGAGACCCATAGTTGCATCCAGACAGCAGCTTGTAAGCTTTTAAAATCCCAGTTGCTACTCGCCAAAGTAGGAGGTGGAACAATGTTTTGTGTAGTATGTTATGCCAATTGAGCTTGATGTCCACTGTGACTATGGTCCTGAGCCCACAGATCCCTCCGGGTAGCTGGCTGTGACCAAGCAGTGATTATAACCTCGCCCCTTGTCAGCTCTACCATACACCTGGGAATTCAGATCATATAAATAAACTTATAGGACCACTGTCTGCCAATCCTATACATGTTCTTTGGTATACTCCCTGCTTCATAGACAAGTTTCTTTAAATTCTTAACAATAAAGTTTAGTATTATGAGTAAAATGCAATTAGGATTTTAAACTCACATAAGAGTAAACTGTAACATCAAAATGATATATTTGGAACCGTGTGAAACACAGTACTTCAATATACCTGGATTATATGAGAAACTGCCCAGAAGAAGACCAGAAAAATGAAAATCCACTTTTTTAAGTAAATCCCTTCACAATGTCTCTTAAAGCTGAATGGAGGACATATATACACTCACCATTACTAATTACACTAAAGCAGTTATTAATCTTTCAGGTTCCCTGATTTTTAATAAAGAACAAATAATTATTTGCAATAAAATAGTTTCTATCTTCTGACATGGAACTTTATTTTTCTTAATTGTTTATTTACTTCACTCTGCCTTCCTAAGATCCTATGTCAGCTTCTTCTACCCCAAAAGAGGAAACTGTGGTTGAAATGCTTGCAGTATGACCACAAAAGCAGAGCAAGAAGATGTTCTGTCAAGTCAGAGACAGAAAAGACAACACCATCCTCCTTAGTCCAGAGGAGTTAAGAACAAAATCAATCAGCCCCTCCCACAGCTTTTACAAGGATTTCCCAGTGTTTCAGAGCATAGAAACAACCACTCACCTTTCCTTCACCTCACAGAAAAGAAATGCTAGAAATTGCATTAGGTGTCATTGAGATGCTAAATATCTTGGCATTTGTAAATTAATCCAATGGTTGAAGTACTTTCTTAATGCCTGTCTTCTGACTACTACTTTGTTTAACAGGGAAAGAAACTAAGAATATGATGCCTTAAGAATGATACACTCTTGTAACCAGTGACCTAAGCTGAGTACTGCATTCTGCCTGATACGAACTGCAGGAATAGCTACACTTTTCTGGAGGTCCTTCCTGTATAAGAATTGCACGTTGGGGTAACTGGTTATTAATAAAAGCAAACAAACTGTACTTTGCTGTTTGCAGCAAATCCCTCAGGAATAAAGCGTCATTGTCAAGGCATTCACACTCAAGGCAAAATTAAAAAAAAAAAGAACATCACTCAACTGTATTGGGAAAATGCTACCCTAACAACTCTAAAATGCAAAAGTACTTCAATACTTGGTTGTGCTTGAGTTTTTACCCCTGCAGGTTCCATTTCTCATCCGTGCAGCATAATGAAAAATAACCTTGGACCTAGAACCCCAAAACATAGATTCTAATATGGATACTCTTACTTGCTAGATATTGTCCTTGGCAAATAAAAAATCTCTTTGCACTTGAGCTACTTCATCTGAAAAATAACCTTGGACCTAGAACCCCAAA